GTCACGCCCGATTCATTTAAAATGCAAATCTCTGGCCGTAACAACAAACAAACAAATCCGAGGGCGTATTTCCACGGCGTATCACCAGTGTTGGCAGATAAAAGGATGGAAGATCCGGGGGGTAACAACATGTAAGAAATCATCAGGGCGTATGATGTTTTATTCTCAATTTCACAACAAAGAAAACTTTTTTTTTTAGTTTTTTAGTAATGCATGATGATAGATTACACTATTAACTATATGTCAAGCTTATAAAATCATCCAGAAAATGGAAAGTCGTGAACTAGGATTAATTTTTAAGCCATCAATATTCGGAAGCGATTTTCTCGATATGGTCATTTTGGAGTTATACCCTTTTCAAATGTTAGTCTAGAAATATCATGTCTAAGATTGAGATGACCTGTAAGATTCACCAGGACAGCGAGCCACGTCACATATCACTCCACGCAAAATAGGACAGACATTTAAATCTCTCCACTATGCATGCCTCTCTGAAGTTTACAGGAAACTGGTAAGAGTACTCGAAAGTTTGTACCACTCTGAAATAAGGCGGACTTCATCATAACGCATAGAAATTTTCTTAGGGTAGCAGAGCTTAGTTGAAGTTCGTAGAACTTCTCTCTGAACTTCTATGATGTATGTAGATACAGTTTGAGATGTTTAGTATAATTTAGAGAACCCTACTAAAGCTATTTGAAGTTTGTTGAGCTCATCTAAACCTTCCATAACTTCAATGCAATATGTCAAGTTTTTCTGCTTATTTCAGATTGGTGAATAATGAGAAGCTAGAGAATATGACGTGATTAATGGGAAATGGATTGAACGATTGAACATATAAAGGAAGTAGGTTTTGCCTCGGGTTTTGCTAAATAAATAAATAAATAAATAAATAAATAAATAAATGGGCTTTGTGGTCATGTGGTGTAAGTGCCTCAAAGTGAGGGGAGGGTTTGATTCCCGCTCCAGCCGGTGGAACTTATACACCACCGGTCTACTGGGTTTTGTGTGCTGTCCGTTGTCTAGTATTAAGTGTTCAGTCTATGATCTGGTTCAAGATGATGTCACTGACCTCCGATTACTCTTCAACGAGACCCAGCGATTAGCCGACCAGTCCAAAATACTCACCCTCAAGTCCACGGAAAACACTAACAAGTCCGATATCCAATTATTCCTAATGTTTCTTCGAGAGCGTGGTTTAAAGGCTTGGGCTTAAGTCGTGACTTCATTCGCGTGATGAGTAGACTTATGTCCAACCACTACTCGCTAGATGCTCATCTCAATAGAATAAACCTCGTGGACAGCAACATCTGTCGGTGTGGAAACGGTTACGATGACATCGAACACGCAGTTTGGCAATGTACGGATAATGACGCCGCCAGAGAGCGACTTTTGAATACCCTCGAGGCCCAAGGAAGACAACCCTATGTTCCTATCAGAGACGTGTTATCAACCCGTGATCTCTGCTATATGCAGTCCGTTTATGTTTTTCTTCAAAGGTCTAGTATAAGAATTTAATTCCTATTGTCTTTTGTCTCTCTTTATTAGTTTTTGTTTGTCTTGTCCCCCCGTCTCGATGAGTCTCATCGTCGCCCACTGGTCACCCACCATAGCCGGTCGAACTCCGGACGAAGCTAGAACAGCACTACCGTTCATACTGGCGACAACGCTCTGATGAGACAACGAAACCCTACCCCAAGCTCCTCCCCTGATCCTATCCTTCGAAAATGTAACCTTCTAACCTCGAGTAAGCCGCGAGTAATCGGCCCAACTCCTACTAGACATAGAATTAAGTGAATTTTGTTACACACAGTGAATTATGAATTATCGGCTCCGTAAAGCTAACGCGATTGAGCCTTCCAAATAAACGAACTAGATAAAAAAAAGTCCGATATCACATTTGTGATTCCTTGGATTATGCCACTTTCATGCCACGACCGACTTTGGTTTTTGAAATTGCACTTACAATGTTGCCTTAAAATACATGGTATGTTAGGTTTAACCTTATGGGAACTGACCTCCGATTGATTGACACCTGGAAAAATTTTCAGAAAATACCTTTTAATAAATTTATGGTGGTCCTGAAAAGGATCGTTTTGGGTGATGCGCTTGGCTTTGATCACCTACAGTGGCTCACGAGGAGTTACTGAATCTGATCAGTAGCGGTGCGACTTCTTCCTCCTTTTTCGGTGAATGGACGCTCATGTGGGCTTCAGCTCACTGTTTGCGGGCGGCTTTTCGTTGTGTACTGGAGAACAATGTTCACCGCCACGCGCCGAAAGCACTGCTGCTGCAGCTGATGATGACGTCCGACCGGTCTCCACCACACACGGTGATTGAATAAGTACCGTTCGGCGAGGCCGGATGGAATTCGATTTTAAAATCTGTGTTAGGGAAAGCGCTTTTTGCAGGCAATCGGTGATAATTTGGATCACCATTGCAACAATTGGACATTTGTGTAATTTTCAATAGTGACCTATTGAAAATTAATAATGTGTCAACTTTAGCAGATTTGTAGAAAAATTTCCAATCGATTGGCTTGTTTAGAAATAAAATCCATCCGCTATTGACAGAGTTATAAGTGGTCAAAAACTATTCATAAAGCAGTCAATATCCTAGATCGGACCGGGAATCGATAACCCAGCCACCTCCAGCAGCATTGTAGCTGCGCCTTTACCGACTGAGCTAAGGGAGGCCCTATAAAGGGCACCATTATTCATGAATTCTTGATCGCTAGGAATGCTTGTGAATATTTGAGGTTGATATAAAGGTTAACAAAGAGGTTTATTTATATCGCTGTGAAGCAACTGAAAAGTGTTTTGGGAATTAAGATCTGTAACTGTAACCAATTCGTTTTTGTTTATCAATCTGGTTATACTTAATTTTCTTAAAGATAACTCGTTCAACTCATACTTTTGAAGGAATTAGCGGTATGACCAACAGGTCTAGCCATTCACTTCATGTTTGTTAGCTGAGTCTCAGAAATTGTTTTACTAAATCTCATCAAAATGAACTGCAGAACTTCTCGGCTGCTATGTATATGTGTAAACCTTCATCAACATTTTTCATTTTTTGCACTAAATCAAATTTTGGGGCTTTGAATCAAAATGGAGGGTGGCCTATAAGGAATTAAAGAAAATTGTTTTCGATATGAAGCATCCTTCATAACATACATTATCTATTTATTTATTAATCAATTAGTTAATCTGAGACTACAATGTTACTTATCTTATTATCTCGGTATTCGCAGAGTTTTGCAATATTTTCGCAATTTTTCCTTTGACATATTTAGGTCGATCATTACGCAATGTTTGTTATAGGCAGAAATTATCTGATTTAGCGATTCAAATTTAGCGTAATTAGTACGATCGTGATCTACTGTGAACAATTGTCGGTTACGTAATTGGCGAGAGGGTGCGTAAAAATTTAATGTAGACAGCAAATATGCTGAGTCAATGCGCTGTGAAACATTATTGTTCACACAAGAAAGAAACCATACCATGTTCGCCACGCTCTCTCAGTGTTTGAATATCTTGAATATAAACAACGCGCTTCATACGACGGGAGAGGGAATACTGTCCATCCTAACTAACATATTGGTTAAAGTATTTGGTTTAGATAATTTTCTACTATACTATCGTATACGTATCAGTAATGTAGAACTATTTATCAAACCGTGTTGCGAAGCTAAACTCTTTTAATTGCGAATTTCATCAACTTAAAAAAAAATAACCGCTGCATTTCGAACAACCGAGACGCCATCATTCACATGGAATAATACTCAATATTAAAAAAAAATCAGAATCCAGCAAAAATGCCAACATAGGATTTGCGGCGCAAGCATATTTCCTTTAATGCCGATCAAGCTCAAAGGAAGGCAACACCTCAGTTCACTGCTGCAAACTCGAGAAACAACAGACAAAACCAACACCAACCGTCCCAGCCCGGCTCAAGCTAAGCAATCGGAAGGGAAAGCTGCCTGAGGAGTGGTAGGACGGCGACGTCGGCGAATATGCGAACCGAATGCGAAACGACGACATCGCAGAGGGATGAGGAAAAAAATACACACCGAAGAATGCAATTGACGTGAATGATTTATATCAGCCATTTTACATCGAAGGCTCTGCACGATAAATCAAATTCAAATCGGTCGATTTGTGTGCTTCGCTCCGAGTTTCACGACGATTCGCACTGCGGGGACTGAGTTTGAGTATAGTCTATCTAGTGCGGCAACCTGAAAAGGTTTCTCGCGCGTTACCCGAGGCCCTAGGAGCTAGTACAATGATTACAGGTCGCATCTCGGTGGATGGCGACCGCAGTTCAAGATCAAAGATGACTTGCTAATTTTATTCTAAGTTTGCTATCTCTATCCAAAAACATGGATTATTTTTTAACAGAATTATATGGTTCTGATTGTCAGTAAAAGCAGTAATTTTACATCGAAAGTTTTCTAAAATATTGACCTTCTAAATTAATTCAACTTTCTTAATAAAGAATGCAAAATACTTTCCGCTCAAACCCGAACCGAACCGTAAAACCCAATTGCCCGATCAGAAGATTGCACATAGAATGATATGGTGTGCGTCTTCCTCCCACCCCAGCGCATTGTCGTCGTCGCGTCGTATCCGTCGTGAATTCCTTGATTGATTGATTGAAAGTAATTTTGCCATTGAAACGTTTACCCGTTCAGAGCGCATCAGCTCGGTCGTGCATGCCCCAGTAAGCGTTTCTTTCCTTCTCGGTCGAGCGCATCCACCGACCGGAGACAGTTTCGAACGGTTTTATTTCTATCTGGCACTGAACCCAGTCCCGGTCTGGCTCGAATGCAGTTGTTTTCCTTCCGATGAATGCAATTTCCATTGTATGCAGCTTGAAATGCCACGACAATAATTGCATTGATTTAGTAGCAGTGTGCATTTCGTAGGATAGGTATGCGATAAGCACCGCAATGAAATATGTACATGGCATACAAACTGCCGTAATACGACTCATAATTTACTCACATTAGTGGTAAGGTAGACTGCATTTCCGGTTTTGGACTGTTTCCATTCATCGATGAGGTTTTTGCCGTCGGTACGCAAACCACGGGCACCGCTCGGGTCGGTGTCGGTAGTTGGAATCATGTTCTTGCGTCCGCCTCCAAAGATGACCTGTCGTGAGTGGTTGGAGCTTTGTGTAAGTATTTTCGTTGCTTGCAAACACCGTCGGAGGACAGCGACATCACTTACCTTGAAGTGCTTTCCAACATCACCGTGAATCAGTTGATGAGCAATATCATTAACCTCACTTGGATTGCATCCTGCGGTCGATACGGCGGCATCATTTTCCCAGTCCTTATCGGCAGAATGCGCATAGAGAGCAGGGCTGGAGCCGGCGGTAACGCGGGAAGTTGTTGCAAAACCTGTTTTGATTGAAATTCCAGAATATAGTAAGTTTTTATGTGCATAGTTGAGAGACAAAAATCAATATTAAAGTTAGGGAAGAAAGTTCCACGATAAGGAACAATTCAAGGTAGATTTTTCTAAACGGAAGGTGTAAAACATATCGTTTAAAGGTGTATTTGAAAATGAGGTAGCATGGAGAAAAGGTGTGTTTCACTGCTTTCGTTAGGTGAAGAAGAAAGATTACATTTGTCTTTTTTGGCTTTTACGTCTTGACAGAAACATTGTGCTTGCCCTCAGTGTTCTTTGAGCAATTTAACAGTAAAAAAGCATTCTAAGCCTGTACCAAATCTACATTCATATGTTGAATGGCAAGACACTGTTTACCCAAGGAAAGCGAGTAATTCCATGATAATTCCCACCACCGCCGGCTTTGTATACCGTTCTATTACTGTCTATGCCATAGGAAAGCCCGAGTGTTACTTTAGACAAATTTGATGCATAACATCAATAATTTCAATATAGGGCATTGGCACTAATTGACGGCAACCAAAATTTAAACGACAGTTTCACTAAATTTTCTTAATAAAGCACTTCGCTGAATATATATTAACGATTCTTCAGTCTTTCAGTCATCTGATTTCTTTTTTACCACTGAGAAAATCTTATACGCCGGGTTCTTCTTCACATGATATATACGCACTACAAAATTCGGCTGATTTTGAGTTGTCGATACTAGAAAGTTCGGAAAAGTAGTGTAAATTTCTGTTACTATGATGCACATAAATGGAGCTTCATATAACATTCAAGTTTATGTTGTAGAAGTCATGAAATATTCCATATATTGTATGCAACCCTGCATATTAGTAAGCAACATTTTTTGTAAGGTTCTACTTTACGTGAAAAGGAAGTTTACATACATGGATGTTTACATCACCAGTAAACTTCAGATTTTTTTTCTGAGTAGAACGCCAAATAGCAAAAAACTAATCGTATTTCAGATTTTACCTCTCAGAATTCGCACATTTAATGAAGTTTATAACAGATTTTTTTTCTTTTATTTTCTTTTTTCTTTTATTATTTCAATTTTAATGTGTTGTTGTTGCCGATGTACATATTTTTTGACAAAATAAAGGCATATGCATAAAATAAAACTGGATCTTTGCCTAATGCGAAATCAAGAATACATTTTGTTTAAAACGTACCAGAATTAACACCATTATAAACCACCATTAGCTGTACTGGAAGGATCACGTAGCTTCTACGTTATAATCCAGTGACATTGAAGCTCACTGAAATGAGTGCTTCCACTTGATAATCACGTAACGTTTACGTGAAAAGTGCGATGGAAAAAATCTATGTATGTTTTCACGTAGCATTAACGTGAAGATTATTTTTAGTGTACACGCTATTTCTAAACAACCCAAATTTGAATAGAATCTACTCATATCAATCAAAGGAAGGGCTGCCCAAAATTGAGTAGACAAAGCTTGAACTGATTCTGGTCGATGTAGTCCTTTCGTCATCTTGTCGATCCCAATTATTATTCTTTTGGAAATGTTAAAAGTCTAGAACGCGCAAAAATTGGTCAACTTCAAATTGGTGTATTTCTGTTAAAAATGCATAAGAACCTGAAATGCTGCATTTGGAAGTTGAGTGTATATACAATGGTTGCTATGATGAGTTTTCACCGTTTGCTCTCCAGTTTTCAAAATGACGTCCAAGCAAGAGGAACAGCGTGTCAAAATTTTGCTCGCGCAGCAAGAGAATCCGACGTTCTCACACACCAAGTTGGCACAATTGCTGGATGTGGCCAAATCGACCGTGACAAACGTTTTAAAAGTGTTCGGGAGCGTCTGTTGACCACCAGGAAGCCTGGAAGCACGTGTGGTTTAAAAAGCGGTATTTTCATTACTACGGGAACCTAGAGTCGGTGTATAATGAGTCACGCCAAGAGAAAAACAGTTGTACTCGCATCACGGGTTTCGAAACATTCCCTTTCTTTTCACTTGGCAACAGAGGACTTCTACATCAACTTCAAATGACTTTTAGCGAGAAAAAATAGCGGCTGTAGTAAATCATTATATCAGTTATTTTGTCAAATTATCTTAACAAAAAATAGTATAAATTCTCATTACTGATCATTACCAAACGTATCCCATGACAATTTAATGCTCACTGCGTGTTGATGATCATTTATTCGATTATATTTTTTATTTTATTGCAATACCTTTTGTGGACCTTTCATAGCACCATAATGTTTGTTTGTTTACTTTGCACGATAGGTAGCCGGTTTGACAGTTCAATAGGTAGACTTGGCTTCACTCTTGGCGTGACTCATTATACACCGACTCTACGGGAACCTTCAATCAAGAGATCTACCTCCAGGAGTGCTTGAAGAAGCGGCTGCAATCATCTAAAGCAACATAATAGACTTGTGCTGTTCCGGCCGGAAATGGCGAGCTTCCACTATTGGAACAACGTGGTTGTGGTACCCAAAGACCACAACCCTCCCAACAGCCCAGAACTCCGCCCCATCGAACGGTATTGGGCCTTGGTCAAACGGAATCTCAAAAAAACTAATAAATCCATGGAAAACGAGCAGTAGTTTAAATCTAACTGGCGTTCGGCGAATAAGGTCGATGAGACCACTGTGTAAAATTTTAATGAAAGGGGTTAAGCGGAAGGCACGGCAGTTCGGATAAGGCAAACCAAAAGAATAAACGAACATATTTTCCTTTAAATATTTGAATAAAACTACAAAAAAAATAATAAGATTTTTGTGATATGAATTTTGACTGAAAGAAACGATTTCTTTGTCGACCAATTTTTGCGCGTTCCAGTCTTTAATTCATTAAACTTAGCACATTAAATTGTCCCACAAGAGTAAGTTCTAAAGTAATCTGAATTTACACTGGCATTAAAATATGCCCACTGAACTAAACAGCAAAAAATTAATTTTAATATCACATCAAAGTGGATGCACTTCAATCGTGTTGAAAATATGGTGTAATATTACTTACCAAAAAGGACAAAATAATAATTAACACAGTGCATGAACTGATATTACGCAGCTTTACTGCATTTGTTGACTTTTGTGGCCATAAAAATTACATGAGATTTTCAACACGATTGAAGTGCATCCTCTTGGATGTAATATTAAAATTTATTTTTTGCTGTGTAGCCCCATATTGTACAAAACTATGAGTTTCACTCATTTTTATTTCAGGCGTGAAAATCACTTAGGGGTTACGTGAAACGTACATAAAATCTGTTTATGGGAAAATCACGTAAACTTCATTAAAAAATGTAGCGGCTTCGAATGGAATTTCCCCTCATATATAAGTGGTGTCATGTAGATTGTACTTGGGTCATGTATAATTGACGGCTTTCCAAAAAGAGATATTCTACGTGATGTTTCACGTAACTATAACGTGTCGATTATTTTGAGTGTACCTTACCGACAATGCAATTCAAGCTGATGTATGAAATAATGAGTTAATAGCAAAAAGCAGATACAATATTACATCCATGGATGTATTATTCATAATCATTTTTGCATAATTTGAGAATGCTCAAATTACTCATAAAACACAAAAAGTGCCAATTTACTCTGCGCTTCCTACACCCAACCGGTGGATGTAAGATTCGCTTAAATTATGTGGGATTCATCATCAGAGGATGTAAGTGTCGACCGCATGAACCGAGGATGCAATATACCTAGCTGCGGTCCAATGCAAGAGAATTGGAGACCGAAAAATGTGGAGTGTATTAGTGAGTGAAATGTATTATGTCGAAAAAAAAATGGAAAAAGGTTGCCGACTGGGACTCGAACCACGAACGTTGTGATTATCAGACCTGTGCTTTTTCCACTGCTCTCTCCATGCTTCTGAATATGGATAGCCTAAAAGCAAATAAGAAGCGCTCATTTCATTCGAGGCAAGTGTGTGCGTCGTTCTGCCATGTTATACATAAAAATCAAGGCAAATGCTTGCTTGTGTAGATGAAAGCACAGACAGAACACGAAATAAAAAAGGCAAAAAACCATTACATCGCCTGCAAGGTCAACTTCTAACATTCGCTGCGATGTTCATGAACAGAAGATGATAGGAAATGGAACTATCATTCATTGTAATAAATTTTTGGTTTGCGTGTACAAAATTTACTCATAATTGAAAAAAAAAACTGCATTTTCAGTACTTTTCTGTGCAGAGCACCAATGATACCGACGCCAGGAAAGCAGCTCCCGCACCTAGACCCTACCTATCGGCCCATCAATTCATGATCCTGGGACCAACGGCATTACTTCCCTTCCAAAGGAAGGCGTGATCAGAGATATCAGAACATCCCGGCGGCGCCGACTGGGATTGAACCCAAGCCTGCTAAGGCAGTTATTGTAGTTGGTCGTGCGGTGTTTTGTTTTTCCTCTGTTCGGGACCTTAGACCACTGCGACCAGTAATTTGATCTATTGCAATATATCCCGTGTTCAAAGAAAAGAAGAGGATCTCGAGTAGAAAATCTGTTCTTCCTACTTTCACGAACAGTAGCGACGCCTGGTGGTAGCAGGCAAGCTTTCTGCACGTAAAATATGTATAATGTTTGCTAGTTTTAGACAAATCAACTCCTATGATTTATGTGTCGACTTTTAAACAGAGTTGCCAGAACTTATTTCCGAATATCAGTACAACAAATCGGCAATACCGATAAGCGAAATATTCAGTACTATTGCGTAATACTTTCTACCTTGAAATTCGACAGATGTGGATAAACTCGTTTTTCGATATGGAGATATTCGAAAAATTGACAATTTCTCTTCAAACATTGCTTTTTGCGGTGAAAAAAGAGTCTATGCCCCACGAAAGGATGCTTGACGTAGGACAACGATTAGTTGGTACAATTGTTTTTGCGCTTCATTCTTTCAGTTGTTCAAAAAATCTATAGTGTTATCTATTTAAATTTTTAAAATGTTGATTAATTGTGTGAAATGTGGCGTTAGTAGTTTTATTTAGAAGCTCTCAA